AGGCAGACAGACCCGCGTGGTCATCACTGGGCAGCGTCTCTCTGGGATTAAGTCCACAGTGACTTTGTCCAGGGAGGAGTCACTCTGCAGTGGGAACATTGAGATGTTCACCAGCTCCCCCCGACTCCGCAGTCACCTCGAGGAGTGCTGTCTGGGTCTTTTTCAATTTGGGGAAATAATTAACTCCTTGGCTTCCAACCCTGCCTACAAACAATTTCATTTTCTCGAATAATTTTATCCTCCTGAACACATAATTAATGCAGCAAAATTGGACTCTTCCAAAGAGACTTGGTGTTTGATCCACTTAAGTGGGTCCTGGGAGCAGACTGCAGACCTTATGGATATAAACCGAACACAGTGTCGTGTGTGGGTCATGCCCCGGGCCTGTGAACTACCGGCGGCTACCCATGAGCTTTTACTGAGACTGAGCGCCAAGCCCCAAATATCTGACTCGGCTTGTTTTGAGTGCCCCAGGTTCCCGCTCAGAGGCTGGCCAAGTCAGGATGGTGCAAGATAGGGTTTTTATTTAGTGCATCTACCCACGATCGATTTGAATACAGTGATTTGGATGTGGGGGGATTTTCTGAAGTGATACAAGTGTCTGAATATGTGTGACTGTATGCATGTGTGAGTGCATGTGCATGCATGTGAGTGTGTGCATGAGCGTGCATGTGTGCAAATGTGTATACGTATGCATATATGTGCATGCATTTGAGTGTATGCATGTGTGAGCGTGTGCATGTGTGTGAGCATGTGTGTACATGGACATGGATGTGTATGCGTGCATGCATGTGTATGCATTTAAATGTGTGACTGCGTGCATGTGTGTGAGTGTGTGTGCATAAAGCCCATTTGCACGGGGAAAGGCCCGGGTCTGATACAGATCCACAGTAATTGCACCATCACTGTCCTGTTTCCTGTAAACCTCCAGAGCACAAGGTTCCCCTTCCTGGGTGGCAGCCAAGCTGGGGAGAGGGGTGTCCAGGCCGTGGCGGGCGGCCAGCACTCCCGAGTGGAGCCCCGCTCCCCTGGGGCCTGTGGATGGCTGAGCTGGCATGCCCTGGTTCTGACCCAGCACCCTCCCCCAGCCTGGCACAGAATCCCCATCCAAAGTGGTCGTGGCCGAACAAAGGTGTCTTTCTTGGGACACTACCGAGGCCTGACTCCGGAGTGCAGCGTGGCCTCTGTGCTCTGTGGCTGGTGCGCCGGGGGTGAGACCTTCCCCAAGGGGGGCTGGCAGTGGAGGGGTGTGCTCAGGAGGGAGGGGACAAGGGGGGCACCTGGACTTAAAGTAGGCTCTGTGCCTTCGGTACTGAAAGAGTGGCTCTTCCAGGAGGCGCTCAGGTGCACGGTCGGGCCCCTGAACGCCTGCCCCGTGAGCCTTTCTGTCCTCACCCTGTAATAACTGACCGGCCCCAGCTGGGCAGCTCCTGATCACCGGATCTCCCCGGGCTGGTCAGGTGGGCAGGGGAGGGGAGACAGAGCTCCCAGCTGTGTGCCCGTGGGCCAGAGGTCACCCCCTGCCCTGGCCTCAGTGTACTCGTCTGTGAAGAAAGGCTAACACCCATTTCCTGCCACATCCTGCTGTAATGAGACACGCGTTGTAAAGGCTGCCGTGTCTGAGTCAGGCGAGCCTGGGAGTTTCCGTGTTGCCCCGCGGTGAACAAGTGCTTCCCTGCCCTTGAAGGTGCGCTCTTGACATACAGTGCCCCCCTCCCCCCTTCTACCTGTGACTTGGGTTGTCAGTCATTTTTTATTTGAGTGACACCTGCACCATGTCACCTTCCCCAATGCCCTCATTATTCAGGTGCAGGCTCTTTTTCCTCTAGTAGCCGGGACTCTGAGAGCAGGGGTGGGTGTGGCACCATCTCTCTGTCCCAACGGGTCCTTGTGCCGTGACTGACACGCGAGCCCCGATACTGGCTTATGGAGCAAATGACAAAATGAACAAGTCCCGGTGCAGTCTCAGGGCTGCTCTGGGTCTCAGTGGAGACCTCCGTGAAGAATTGTGGGTAAGGCAGTTTCCACACAGTAGCTGCTGGGACTCTGCCCTTCTCCGACCCTCGCTGGTCGCCTGCGGGATTTTAACTGCTGCCGCGTCCCAAGTGGAGCACAGCTGTGCCTGGGAGATGGGGTCCAGCCGCATAGCTTCCCCTGCCTCTGTCTTGGCAAATTCCTCCCCCCGCCCCCAAACCCGGCCTTCCTCCACTCCCCAGGCTGGAGGACAGTTAGGGCTCACCTGAGGCCTGCTCTGCCTCTCCCTGCCGCGGCAGGAGGGGCTCTGTCTCCCTCCCCTCGCTCCCCTCGCCTCCCGGGGTGAGCTCAAAACTCTCTGCCCCGGTTATGGGCTCTGGGATTTTTCCAGCCGCCCGAGATGCATCCTCCAGGCCCCACAGGTAGCCCAGCCTGCCTGGGCCGTAAAAGCGGGCCTTTCATCTGGGACTGTTTATGTCATAAACGGTGGGAGGCTGGGCGGAGAAGCAACAGCCTGAGCCATTCCAGACTTTTTCTTTACAAGAAAAGGGGAGAGAAGGCCCTGAGATGCATGTTTCAAAGTCTGTGCCAAGCAAATCCATTTCCCTCGGCCGGCTGTGCGGAGACCTCTTGTCTGCACGCCCCACGAGGGTTGGGGTGCTGAGTGTGTCCAAGTGGCCCCCAGGGGGCCGACGTTTGTCGTGGGAGAGGCTATGGCGCTTTCATCTCCACGGGGGGTGTCAGCTTAAACGAGGAGGGGTCACTGGGCTGCGTTGGGGTGGGGAGCCTCTGGCACCAAGAGGGGTCTCCCCTCCCTCGCTCCCGTCCCTGCTGTTGGAAGGCGTTTCTTCTTGTGGGCAGATCGATTTGTGTGTGTTGTAGGCACGGCCGGCATTCCTGGAGAAGCGGGGGTCAGAGTCAGGCTGAGAGCGAGGCCAGAGCCTCGGCGACAGCCAGGCCGCCTGGAACTCCCGGACAGTCGGGGGCACTGCTGTGCCCATAATATGGACAGCACAGCGGACAGGAGCCAGGTGGTGGGAACTGGGGCCTGCCTTCCCCTGGCAGCTGGGTCGTGCCACCTGCCTGCACGTTGGGAGGTGCCAGAGGCCCTCCAGCCCGCCCCCGGGAGGACCTCTCGCTGGGATTGGCCAGGACACCTGCCACTCCGTGGCGATTGGCGGGTGGAGGCCTTTCTGTTAGTGTGTCACCGGCTGTGGGAGAGAACACAGCAGCTCCAGCACTGACTCCTCCGCGTCGGGGACCTGTGCTTGCTGCCCAGCGCCGAGCCTGGAGGGTGGGCCAGGAGGTCAGGGGGCCTAGAGCAGGGCACCTGGTGGCACGCAGTGGCCCACAGCGGTGCCCACTCGTGTCTGCAGCTGCCGTCGCGAGATGACAGCAAAGTCGGCAGCTGCCATGGAGACCGTAGCCCTGCAACAGTAAAACAGTTGCTCTGCAGTGGACACACAGACACTGGGGCGGTGGGGGCTTGCCTGGGGTGGGAATGGCTGGGGGGGTCAATTGGGGGAAAAGGAGACACATATAAAACTTTAGACAATAAAAAACACAACACAGGTGCTCTGCTGTTTACAGAGAAGGCTGCACACCCTAGTCTAGAGCGTGAGGTGATTCCTGGAGGGCAAGGGGCGCCTGGGCAGAGAGAGGGGGCCACAGAGGGAGAAATGTACCCCACAACAACAGCGCCGGCAGAGGACCAACCCGAGCCTCGTCCTCTCTCCGTCCCCACCCTCCCCGACACCCTCCTCCTGCCCCTGCCCAGCCTTCCGCTTCCCATCTTCCCACCCTAGAACCAGTGTTCTCACCTCCTCTTCTCCGGGAGGTAAAGAGACTGCGTGAGCCGCCACCTGTGGTCCCTAGAGAAAGGGGAGCGTCTCTCCCACACGGGTCCCCAGACCCTAGAAGCAGCCCCCCCCCCCCAGGGAGCGTGAGGTCTGGGGGCTGGGGAGGGGCTGGGAAGAGCGTGCCCTGTGCTGGGGGCTTATTCCCTCAGACGTTCCCGTGTAGCGCTCACCGCTTCGAGAGTGGAAGGATGTGGGGAGCCGGCACGGCCATGGCATACTCAGCCCAGGGCGCCTTATGTGCCACGCCAGCTCAGCCTGGCTCAGTGACCCTGAGTGGGGGGGTGAAAGGATTGAGAAAATACAGACAAGAGAATGACAGCTGGGTCTCGGTGGGACGCTGCTCCCTGATGAGGAGACAACGACGGCGCCCACAAGCCGTGTCTTTATTTTATAGCAGATGCCACGAGGCAAAGTAGGGGCGTGATCACGTTGTTTACAGCATTCTCGTGAGTTTCAACCTCACTTAACTACATGCACCCGAACTCTATCACAAGGCACGTGGGGCCACGTGTTCGGACCATAGGTTCAAGCTCACAACCACAGGCGTTGGCTATGATTGTGCTGGGAGGGCCCTGCCCTCCAGCTGGGACTTGCACGTGGCAATGAGAGGACCCTGTCCTTTCATTAGTCCGAGGCTTGAACCTGGCCAAAACACCGTAACCGCGCCCCATAGAAGGAATTCACAGAAATGTGAGTAAATGCAGTTGTCTGTCCATCCTCAGTCATCTGTGCCTGCGGGTGACCCACTGCAGGTCCTGTGGGTCCTCTCTCAGGTCTAGATTGAGAAGTGGCACCTACGCAATAGTGACAACGTGCTGACTGGGCATTGATGTTATGCCAAGCAGCATTCTGCGTGCCTTACCTGTCAGCTCATGGAATCCTCTCAACACCCCAAAGAAGTAGGTTCTCTTACACCGGGTTTTGCAGTCAGGAAACTGAGTCGTAGAGCGCTAAGCCCCCCCCCCCCCCCCAGGGCCTGGGAAGGACACGCAGGGAGGAAGGGCTCTCTGAGGGTGCCTCTTGGGCCTGCCTGGGCCTTCCCGTCGGAGCACCACGTGGCACTCCCGTGGAAAGCCTCCCGGAGAAGTGGGCCGAGGGCCTCTTAGGGAAACTCGCGGCTCCAGGCAGTGGCTGTGAGGGACACACCCTGGTTTCTGCTTCTTTCAGGCAAAAGTGATGATGAAGACAGTCTCTGCAAGGCCGCCCACGGGGCAGGGAAAGGAGCTGCCGAGGACGGCAAGGACCACAAGCGCCCCAAACGTCCCCGAACCATCCTGACCACCCAGCAGAGGAGGGCGTTCAAGGCCTCATTTGAGGTGTCGTCCAAGCCGTGCAGGAAGGTACAGGAGGGAAGAGGGAGGAGAGGGAAGAGGGGGGAGGGCCCAGCCCACGTTTGCGTGTTCACCCCACTCCTGTGGCGTGGTCACGGGCACCTGGGGTTGGGGCGGTGGGACGCTGCTCGGTCTGTGCAGTGGCCTTGAGCCTGGTGGGGGACTCCGGGGTCTGAGGCTGTGGCCAGGCCTCTAGCAGCACCGCCCGAGCTTCTGTGTGAGCGTACCCACTCCGCTGGCCACGTGCTCACATCTGTCACTCCCGGAGATCAATGGGAATAATTCAGGTGCCACTTGGGGTGACCACGGTGCCCTGACCGAGAGCCACACTGCAGAGCCTGATGGTCTGCTCTGTGTTTTGCTCCCATTTGTTCCTCTTGGGGAGGTGACCGGGGGTTCATCTGTGTGTCATTTCCTTGGCTTTGGCTGTTGAATGGCATCCCACCATCCGGACGGGCCATCGTTTGTTCGTTCACCTGTCGATGGGTGTTGGGGTTGTTTCCAGCTTGGGCCTGTTATGGATCAGGCTGCTGTGAATTTTCATGAAAAACAAAAAACAAAACACAACAGAGGTTGAATGAGAGAGACATTTATTTCTCTCATGCGTCACGTGTGGAGGTGACAGTCCTAGGCTGCCGGGGCCGCCCTGCTGTCCATCGCGTGGCCGGGGCTGTTTAGTTCTCACCATTGCTGGCAGCCACCGTGATGGAGAAAGAGGAGCAGAGGGCAAGCAGCTGCCTTTTTAAGGGCAAACCCAGGATGCTTCGCATCACTTTCATTCATATGTTTTGGCCAACATCTGGCCCGTGACTGCCTCCTGCAGGGAGCTGGGAAGTGAGTCTGCCTGGGTGACCACGTGCTGCGCTGAAGCTTGGGGGCTCGATTGCTAATAGGAGGCAGGAGGGCGGGTGTTGGGGACATTAGTCTCTGCCACAAAGAACTGGCCTGTTTATTCAATACCTGCCATTCATTGCTGCTTGTCATGTGCTGGTGACTGTCATTTATGTGATACAAATAAGAAAGCCCTTTAATTGAAATCCATGGAGGAAATACATGGACAGTTTAGCATTGTTTTTCCTGCTTCCTTATCTGTGTCAGTCATGGTTCGCTGCCATAACAGACACCACCTCAGTGGTTTCCAGGGCACAGCGGTTCCTGGGCTGGGCCGGGTGTGGCTGCAGCCCCGTGGGGCTCAGGTGCCGCCGTCTCCAGCCTCTCCTCCAGGGTCGGGCTGACGGAGAGCGGCACCTGACACTGTTCTCACGAAGATGGCGGAAGGCCAGAGGCTGTCACCCGCAAGCCCATGGACGCCCTCCTGCATTTCATTCCCACTCACACGCACCCACCTCCACGCCACAGCCAGCCCTTGGCCAGGCCCCACTGAGCTGGGCGTGCGGGGGGAGCAGGGGAGGAGCAACAACAGAGCCCACCCCCCCGGCCTTGGAAAGATTCACCACAAGCTGCTCAGGCTGCTCGCTGGGCTCCGGGAGGTTCTGGGGGAAGGGAAATGGCCTGCAGTCGGCTCACCCAGGACGAGTGACCACCCACGCAGGTGCTTGTGTCCGTGCACCGAACGCCCCCCCCTCATGCCTGTGCCCAGCGGGTCCCGACAGCCTCCAGCCCCAGCGCAGACACCTGCGCACATTGCTGCACCCGGAGAGAGGGCCGCGTGGCCAGGGCAGGGGGGCGGCCGGGGAAGGCCACCTCTGTCAGGGAACCTGGCCAGGCTTTGCAGAACAGGGGCTCTTGGGCTGGGCCTCTGAAGGACGGAGAGGGTCCCTGGGCACAGCTGTCTTCAGAAGGCTGTGCTTCACACGGTCTGCTCACCCCACTTGTAGCTATGGAGCCGATGAGGGGAGTCCTTCCCAAGGCCCCCCGGCCGCCCTCCTGATGTGCTCACTCAGGGAGCTCCTCCCGAACCCAACCAGCAGGGCCGTGCCGCTCTGGCCCCTCGCTGTGCGTCTGCACGGAGGGCAGGTATTTAAGCACAGCTCTACATGGTGGGGGTCCCCATTCCCCCCCTCTGCGCGGCCCCAGAGCATCTGCTCTGCGGAATCCTGAAGGCCCGTCTCATTCTTTCTGGGCCGGGCTCAGGTGGGGTAACTGAATATGAGTGTTGGTGAAACACCTGGTCCCCCAGAGCTGTGGGGACAGAACCGAAAACCTAGGTCAGTGAATTAGGACGGGAAGAGGGCGAGCGAGGACCACCTGTGTTTTGCTCGGTGGCCTTCACCCCGAGTTCTCCTTGAGTGGCTCAGTCAGTGCGCACGCATGGTGGTCGGCTGGCCACAGGCTTTGCGAAGGTCCGAGAGCCACCTGAAGGCCTGATTTCCAGAGTCAGAGACGCCCCAAAAACCTCCTGCTTACCTCTAAATGGACAGTTATTCCTCCCTGTTTGCATGGGGAGACCCTCTGTTCTCATGCTTCGATCTGGCTGCACGTGGGGCAGTGGCCGGTGCCGGTACCAGACCCGTCAGGCCTCCCGCGCTCTGCAGAGTGCCTGCCTTTCCCCAGACACCGTGTTTCATGTTTCTAACGCTCTGTTTTTTCAAGGTGAGGGAGACGCTGGCTGCAGAGACAGGGCTGAGTGTCCGTGTGGTCCAGGTGTGGTTCCAGAACCAGCGAGCCAAGGTAGCCCGCGCCTCAGCCTGCCTGTTGGGGGCGGGTCCTGGGACAGGAGAGGGGACCTTGGCAGTGTTCCGACCAGCTCATTCATGGAGCGTTCCCTTGACTTCGAGATCCGGCTCTCAACAGTCACCTCAGGCCCAGCCGCGTGTGGCTGCGGAGCGATGGGCATTTGTCCTGGTGAAATGGCCTTTGTTTTTCTCATGGTCATGACTGTGGACCTGGCCAGCCGTGTGTGTGAATAAGTGTCTTCCTATGCCTTTTTGTAAAATCAGGTTCTTTGAGTCACATTAGTTTAACCCAGACCCAAAGTTCTTTTCAAATGTCAGAAACCTACAGGGCACACATATGACTGGTCTACTTCGATGTGATGGCCCGTGGACACCTTCCCACCTCTCCCAGGGCAACAGCTCCCCCACTCTTCCCCCCCCCCTGCCAGTGCAGGCCACACCTTCATAGTGCCGTCTGCATTCTCCTGGGCAGGCCTTTACTGTAAATGTTTTTATTGATTTTTAGAGAGAGAGGAGGAAGGGAGAAGGAGAGAGATAGAAACAGCATCAACCAGCCACCTCCTGCACAACCCCCACCGGGGATCAGGCCTGCAAACTAGGCATGTGCCCTGACCAGGAATCAAACCGGTGACCTCTTGGTGCATGGGTAGATGCTCAACCACTGAGCCACACTGGCTGGGCACACAGTCCTTTACTTTAGACCTGAATTTACGTGTCACGTGACCCATTGCTTGAGAGCCCTGAGCTTCATCGGGCGATGAATTAACAGCTCGCTCTCTGACATAACTGTTTAAGGAGATGTGCCTCCCTGAATGTATTGATGTGCCTTCCATGGTCCTTCACTTGGGAGGGTTTCAGGCTCAGGGGTGTGAAGGCCTGTGGAGTCACGTGGCACAGAGCACATTCAGAGCTCTGAGAAATCTATGCACACACTCCAAGTGTATATTAATATCTCACGGAACCCTCGCATTTCACGGAACACAGTTTGAGAAACATTGGGTCACAGTGTTCCTTCAGGAAGTGTGTGCCCACATGGGCTTTGGAGGTGAGCTCCTTACCTGGAGGCCTGACCTTCCCAGTGGGTCTGCAGACACGAGGGCCAGCAGGTAGGGGAGTGCGTGCGGACAGCCCCTTGCCAGGCTGCAGGGCCCCTCCCCGCACGCAGACCTCACATAAAACTGTCGCAACATCAGCAGCAAGTTTTCTTTGTGGGAGGAACTTGCTGCTCCTGCTGAGACACCATTGCTGCCCAGCCGCTGCCATTCCACAGCGGCAGAGCAAGGACACCTAACTCCCAGCGCTGCTCCTCAAACGTGGCTCCCGTGTGCCTGCCCTTGCATGCGGCCCGTCCACGAGGCCTGAGCCCCTGCAGGTCCCCTGCTGTCTAACCCGGTTCTCTCCACATCAGATGAAGAAGCTGGCCCGGCGGCAGCAGCAGCAGCAGGACCAGCAGAACACGCAGCGGCTGAGCTCGGGTAAGGGCCCTCACGCCATCCTCGCCGGGCCGGGCTCCCCTGCCACAGCCTCCAGCTGCCCAGCTCCCCGGACGACCCCTGTGGGCTCCCAGAAGCCCTGGCCTCACCCGTGTGGGGTGGGGCCTTGCAGTGGGAACTGAGCCCGAGGAGCTGTGACAGGCCGGGCACCGCTGCAGCCCGGACCGCCTGCGGGAGGTGGCGCTAGGCTTGTCCAAGCCCCTGCCCTGGCCCTGCCCAGTGTGGGGACCGTGAGGACGGCCTGCAGCTCCTCATCCTGCCCAGTCCTCCATCCTCCAGGCAGATCAGCCCCGTGGAAGCGCGGCTGTGACTCCACCTTTGCCACAATAACGTGAAGTGGGGGATATGATGACAGTAAAGGAATAATTGCCTGCTTTGCAGAGCAAGTTTCTAGTTCATAGCCTGGCTCCCACCTGCTGGCCTGACGCTTACAGCAGCCACCCTGAGGCCAGTGGAGATGGCACTAAAGGGTCCCCAGGGCTGACCCAGGCCCCACAGGAGGAAGGGGCCCAGTGGGAACCGACACCCCTCTCTCGGATTCAAAGTTCCTGCATGAACCTCATTTTTTTAAACTATATTTTTAAATTAATTTCAGAGAGGAAGGGAGAGGGAGATAGAAACATCAATGATGAGAGAGAATCATTGATTGGCTGCCTTCCGCACACTCCCCACTGGGGATTGAGCCCGCAACCCAGGCATGTGCCCAGACCGGGAATCAAACCGTGACCTCCTGGTTCATAGGTCAATGCTCAACCACTGAGCCACACCGGCCGGGCTGAACCTCATTTTTTAAAAAAAATATATTGATTTTTTACAGAGAGGAAGGGAGAGGGATAGAGAGTTAGAAACATCTATGAGAGAGAAACATTGATCAGCTGCCTCCTGCACACCTCCTACTGGGTATGTGCCCACAACCAAGACATGCCCTTGACCGAATCGAACATGGGACCCTTCAGTCCACAGGCTGATGCTCTATCCACTGAGCCAAACCAGTCAGGGCTGAACCTGAACCTTATTTTTAAATAGGGGTAGGTGAGGACTGGGGAGGGAGTGGAGGATGGGTATGGGAGTCTGCAAAGAAGCTCAAAGAACTAGATCAAGAATAACTATTTTAGAACAATGTCACTGTTGAAGGGATATGGCCCAACTCAGCCATCCATTTGTCAGATCCCCCAAATGGTCTGCTTGCTCCTAAGACGGGTTCTCACACCATCCGTCACCTGCACGCGGGTCACCTGCACTCGGGTCACCTGCACGCGGGTCACCTGCACGCGGGTCACCTGCATTTGGTACCACACAGCCTCTGGCTCCTCAGATCTGGGGCGGGGCCTGGAACCTGCATGTTTAACAAGCTCCCGCTGCTGCTGGTCTGCGGACCACACTCGGAAGGCGTGGGGCGTGGTTCTGGTTCTCAGGCCCCAAGCAACGCTCCTTGTCCCTGGGCAGCCCCGGCCTGGCCTCAGCCCGGGACTCCGCTCGGCAGCCCAGAGTCCCCAGCTTTTCCCCGCGGGTCTCGGAGGATCAGGAAACCGGGCAGGTGCTGGGGAAGGTGGAGCACACCTGACGCCTGCGCAGCTCCACCCTGTGCTGCTGGCGCTGGGACCTGCCCCGCCTCCTCGCGCTCAGGCTGTGCGGGCCTGCGTGTGTGTGTGTGTGTGTGTGTGTGTGTGTGTGTGTAGGTGTAGGTGTGTACGTGCACGCGCGCGGGGTGTGTGGGGGGGTAGGTATGAAGCCCGAGGGCCCTAGTGCTCAGGACCCTGGGGAGTTCAGAGGGTCCCGGACATGAGGGCTTAGGGGGCCCGGCAGGTGGACTCCACATAGGCCACCAGGCCAAGGGGAAAAGAACTGAAACCCTGGTGCTGACCTGGGAGACGTCTAGGCAGCGCTCAGGGCCCTAAGGAGGTCTCTGCGAGCTCACGGGGCCATGTCCAGAGACCCACAGCGGGCTGTGCAGGTGGCGGGCTGAGTTGTCCTGCGTCACAGGATTCTGTGCGCAGACGGCAGCTTGCAGTCCCAAAGCGCATACACATGGTCTCACGGGACCTTTATGTCAGCCTGGGCGGTCATAGGCCAGTGTCACGACCCCGCCTGACTTAGGGAATCCTGTGAATGATGCTGGCAGGGTCTTTAGAGGTGCCCCCTCCAGGGCTGTGCACCTGAGTGGACCCCCAGATGCCTTGTTTCAATGGCATAGTTCAAGGACGCTCTCCAAGGGGACCCCTGAAGCCCTTGTAAGGCACAGGCTGGGACCCGCCAGTCAGCTCATGTCTGTCCACTCTGTGAATGGGAAACCCCGACCCAGGAAGTAAGAAATGACTTAGCCGTGGTCGCACAGCTTATGCGGTTACACCCTCCTTGACAAGATGCTCATCCCTGGCGGCCACGGCCTGCAGTCCGCTTGGTCACTGAGTAGGGCTGACCTGGGCGTGACCCCGAGGCTCCATCTTACAGGATGTGGCAATCTCTGCTCCCTGCTCTCTGGAATCACCAGCTCTGGGAAGCCAACTGCCGCGTTGTGAGGCCACTTAAGCTGCTGTGTGGTCCACATGGTTGGGCAACGGGGGTTCCCAGGGCCAGCCCAGCCTCCCTGTGCTGCCCCGCCTGCCCCTCACTCTCTTCTCTGTATGGAGCCACAGCAAAGGCCAGTGCCGGGCGGGGCACCTGGAATGGGGCTGTGATGTGGGGAAGATGCTCTGTGTCTTCCTGTACAGCAGGGGATGCAGGCTGCATGTGAGGATGACCTGCCTTCTTTGTCCCACAGCTCAGACGAACGGTGGCGGGAGCACTGGGCTGGAAGGCATCATGAGCCCCTACACGGCCCTGCCCACCCCGCAGCAGCTGCTGGCCATGGAGCAGGGCGTGTACAGCGGGGACCCCTTCCGGCAGGGCCTCACCCCGCCCCAGATGCCTGGAGACCACATGCACCCCTATGGTAAGAGCCTCAGCCCCGCCCCTCAGTAAGTAAGGAAACAGGACCTACCTGTGGTCGCAGGTGCATGTGGTCCCCGCCTTCAGGATGACCCTCCTCAATGCTCACCTTTGGTTTAATGATACTTTTCAAGGAAGTGCTCAAGTTCAACTGCCCCCAGCCCCACCCTCTGAGGGGGCCCCTGCTGGCCCACAGGCTGCCACCCACAGGGACCATCACAACTTGCTTGCGTGGGTTTCTTTCCTGCCCAAACACATCTGCCCCGTTCCCAGCTGCTCCCGGAAGCTGCAAAGCCCCACGAGGCCCAGGAAAATTGCTGGGTCACCCACCAGGGGCCACAGAACGGCCAGCACTCGGTTCACCAGCGTGTCTCCACGCATTCCCCCTTCACAGCCGCTTAGTCGTCAGTTTTAAGTAGGAGGTGGTGCTTCCCGCCTGTGTGGTTGAACTTCCCATCCTTCCTCCCTGAGAGGGACTGTGCTGTCAGCCCTGTCGGCATGATCTAGGCAGGAGGCCCAAGGTGAGCGAACTTTCACGGGAAGGAAATGGATAAAAGCAGAGAAATAAATAAAGCAGAGAAAACGCTGTTCTAATTGGACCATGTTAGGTTCTCCTGGAATTCCTGAAGCAGAAGCGGACCTGAGAAGTGAAAAGGACCCCCACGTCCACTCCCACGCCCGCCCACCAGCACTGCGGTGTTTAAATGCTGGCCTGTGGAGAGCTGAGCCCTCCCCTCGCCAGCGGCTGGGCGAGCTCTGGCTGGACGGCCGGAGTTGGACCTCAGGGCCAGATACCGGGCAGCACGTTCACGCGAGGTCAGCGGCCCGGGCAGCAGCCACCTGTCGGTGTAATCTGCACCCAGAGCCCCAAGGGCTAAAAACAAAGTTCGATTGGCAAGCCTTCGAGGCAGCATCCGAGACATGCCTGAGCACACGCGTGTGGTCACACAAGCTCTTGTTTGCCTTTATTTTAAAAGACCCCCCTATTCTTCACGTAGGCTGTCTTCCCTCGCGTCCGACAAACCCCAGTGCAGACCGGGCCCTCTGCGGGCCTCGCTGACCAGCCGAGATCGTGGCGTTGGCTCCCTTAGGGGACACGTGCAGCCTCTGTACCCGTCGTCACTCCACGGCTGTGGAAAACAGGGCACATGGCTTTTCTGCAGATTCTTAAATTTTCAGCCCCAGGGGTCTTATTACCTACAGGTCCCCATGAGGAGCCCTTTAGTAAAACGAATAATTAAAGCTGCGTGACAAGCCCAATAAACCGGTTTTCACCTGTCCGGTTAACTTGAAGGGGAGGTGAAGGGCACGCACCTCTGGTTGTTGTCACGTGGTCCCCAGCTGGTCCGTCGGGGGGTCACCTTCCTCTTGCCTGCACACAGATGCGGGAGGCGGAGGTGCCGGCGTACCTGAGCGCGCTGTCACGGAGGGGAGGTGATCAACCGTCTGCCATCTGTTTTGCCTGCACTCGGCTTGGTGTTTTGGCGTGTTTTCAGTTGCTGCACTTCAGACACGAGCCCTGGGAGACTAGAGGCCTGTGGACGGGGACTCTGTTCCCGCCTCCATTTCTGTGTAGCGTCCCCCCCGCCCCCGGCACCCCACCCCAGAATGCTGGATGCTGGTGCGTTTCTCAGCACCCAGGGGAGTCCCTGCTTTCAGACCCTCATGCCTGTGTTTCATCTTCATTTCAGGTGCCGAGCCCCTTTTCCACGACCTGGATAGTGACGACACCTCCCTCAGTAACCTGGGTGACTGTTTCCTAGCAACCTCGGAAGCCGGGCCCCTACAGTCCAGAGTGGGGAACCCCATTGACCACCTGTACTCCATGCAGAATTCTTACTTCACCTCTTGAGCCTCCCCAGAGCTTCGTGGCTGGGCTCCGTATGGAACACCACACGTGGGAGGGCCGCTGGCTGCAGGACCGGAGGCCAGGACGAGGCGGCGGGGGAGGGTGTTTTGTCGGAGATGCTGCCGAATGATGCTCTGGGGTGGCTGGCATTTCCAAAGACTGGATGCATAACAGATCGCATAGTTTAATGTTTCTAATAAGAGTCTTAGCGTTAGGTTTGCAGGCGTGTTTGTCGCTAAGGACAGGGATGTTTAACGTAGACATTGTCATGCAGGCTAGATACGTAGAGACCCCAACAGCTTCCCACCTCCTGGGGAAGCTCCTGTGAAGAGGTGCATATGTCTATTCATCCGTACAACCCACAGACAGACAGGCAGGCAGGCGGATGTGTGTGTGAGTGTGACCTTCCATACGTCATCTTCAAAGCTGTGCCCGTGATGGCAGACACCCACTGGGCAGCACAGGTGATGTTATTTCCAGTGTGAGCTCTATTTAAGGAAACGCTTGATGCACTTAAGTTATAAAATGAGATGAATTACTTTTATAGACTTTATTTCTAGTTGGAAGAGACCTGTGGCAGGGCAGAGAGGGCTGCCCCCCGCGGCCCCACAGCTCCGGGCTCTGTCGTCAGAGCGCCACTGGGTGTGGGCAGCGGCTCCATGTGGCCCGCAGGTCCTCTCCTGGGTTTGGCTCTCTTTGGGGCCTGGTCACTGGCTGGGGACAGAACAGTTCCTGGTTATGTTCCTAGAAAGCGTGAAACGTAGTCCTCGGCTTTCTTTAAAACTGTGACGTGGTTGTGGGCGGCGCCAGGCAGTCAGTTCTGCTCTTGACCGGCATCATTTGCAGGTGGGGGGTGAGGCTGATAGTCCGTACCTCCCTTATGGGGGACCCAAGGCCTGATCACCCCCAGGACACATGAGCAGGGCTGAGACGAATATCTGAGGTTTGTTTAAAACACAACCGGACCGGTCCCATGGCGAAGGCTGCCCCTGGGGCTGCAGAGTCAGGGGCTCCTGTGCCCTGAGGGCCACACTGCTCAGAGCCCCTCCTGGGAAGCCTGGGCTCAGATACCAGGCAGGACAGCGGGGGCACCAGAGTCCCAGACAGGAGGCTGTGGCTGCGAGGCACAGGAGGGCGTCGTGGGGTTCCAGACCAAGGGGCACACTGCAGCTAAGAAGGGTTTCTACAGTTTTAAAGGTTGTTAGAAAATAATAGTAAAAGAGGAGACTGCCACGGAGTGTGTGTGGCCGGAAAGGCTGAAATACTGTCTGTACTTTTCACGTGACGTGTGCTGGCCCGTCCTGGGCTCTGTTTCTGGGGCTCACGGGGTCCAGGTGGAAGCCAGGGCCCCCCCCTCAGGCTCACTTTCCCGACCTGGCCCCGAGGACCCAGCTGCCATCGCACACGGGGTCAGCTGCCCTCCGTCCTCCAGGGGCTGCTAAGATGGGCTGCTTCTGTGCCCGGAGAAACTGGAGCGAGGTGCCGGGGAAGACGGGGTCGGCTGGGACTCGGCGAGGTTCGGGACAGGCCCGGCCGCCTCCCGGGGCCGCCGCCGCTCATCACAGCCTTGGACCCAGTGGCTCGCCCCATCACTAGGTGCCAGGCCGGAGGGAGCACGCCCTTGCGGTAGCATCATGGTCATGTGATATTTGTGCTCCAGTGAATGATTTATGCAATAGCCTCAGCCAGCCTGGCGAGCGGACAGCAGGCGGCGCGGGGCCCGCAGGCCTCGGTGGGAAGGTCCCCTGGACAAGGTAGCAGGTCCCGTGTGAGTGAACCGAATAGAGACCCTATTCTACTCCTTAACCTTGCAAACCCAGATGAAATTAAAAACCTCATACAAACGAGCTGCTGTTTATTTGGGGCCTGGGTGGTGGGTGGGGATCGGGGCTGGTGTTTGGTCAACAGGGATGTGGGGCTGAATGGATGGCGAGCTTCCCAGGAAGGGAAAGGGTGACCCCCCAAAACAAGGAGAAAGGGGCCCCACTCCTGCCGAGATGGACCCAGAGGCCCCCCAGGAGGAGGCCCTGCACGTCCCGCCCTCAGTCAGGGTCTCGGAGGCAGAGGCTGCGAGGGGCAGGTGTTGTTCCTTCATTTCATAGATGAGAAGCCTGTAGTCGGGGAAACTCGGCCAGGTCTCCGAGTTCTCATTTGTCTGACTTCCGAGGGCAGGTGCGGGGTGTCAAGCGAACACCTGCCCAGGTGCGGCTGGGAGGGGCACAGAGAAGGCACGCCACCTTTCCCGCCCCCGGTGACAGTAAAGGACGCGCAGAAACTCCCCTGTAGGCCAAGCGTCAGCTGCTGGCGTAGGTACCGTGTGCTCCGGGCGCCAGGAGAGAGGCCACAGGGAAGAGGGGCCAGGCTTCCCCGGGAAGGAGGGCCTGAACTGAGCCTTCAGAGAGGGCGGGCCTTAGGTACTTGGAGAGGAGGGAGGCCATTCTAAGCAGAGGACCAGGGTGGGCAAAGCCCCGAGGACGGGAGGCCGGCCCCGCACGGGCCAGTGTGCGGGACCCGCTGGTGGGAGGGGAGCGCTGCCCAGTGGTGCATCCGAGGCTTCGAGTGGGGCTGATGGTGAAGGTGCTGGTGTCAGGAGAGCCCCACTGATTGGCTGATGAGACAGGTATGGCCAGGGCTGCTCGTCGTTCCCTTTATTCTAGTCTCTTCTCAAACGATACCATCCAGGTTTGTGGTCGAGGTTACTCGGAATAAAGCCTCTGTCCCTCAAAGGCCAGCTCAGCTAGGCCGCTCCTCTGACCACGCCCCGCCCAGTGGGGCGTCAGGAGCGTCACGGGCAGCGTCACGGGCAGCGTCACGGCAGCGCCTCGGTGCACGTCCTCCTGGCTGGAGCGCAGGTGCAATAGCTGGAGGTGGAGCAACGGTCTCAGACCAGGAGGTGAGCTTGTGAATGGAGGGCACACGCCGCTGGACAAGGCAGGGGGAGCCGGATTCCTGAGGATTCCTGGGAGCCACGCTGCGTTCCAGCCCTGACTACCCAGGTCCTAACTCTTTTTCGAGAGAAATAAACTTCTGTTCTAAAGCTGCTGCTGTTGCATGTTTCTTTGACTCACAGTCAGATTGGATCCTGACACACAAAGTGGGTTCGGGAGAAATCTAAGCCCCACAGACCATGAAGGTAAAGAGGGAAAGGTCCAGACAGCACGCTCGTGGGTGGGGGCCGACGGGGGCAGGACAGGCCGAGGGTGGGAGGGTCCCTGTGACTCTAGAGCAGGTAGATGGTCTGAGGCCACAGGTGCTCGAGCTGGGCCTCATCCCTCAGAGAAGGGGGCCGTCTGCAGCTGTACTGGCCGCCGCGGTCAGACACGTGGCCCTGTTTCTCTGGCTGTTCTCAGAGCCTCACCAGGAGCCGCCAGGCCCCACCCTCCACTTCCTCCAGTCAGGCCAGGACTCCCTTTAGAATCTGGGGAGAAGCTTTTCTCCCCTTTGCTTCTGATGCTATTTGGCTGAGACCCTGAACCCTCACGCTTCAGCCTCCAGTTCTCCCATGACAGATAAAATAAAACAAGTGTAGTGCGGGCTTTTCCGGCCACTGCATCCTGGAAACAGCCGACCTTTCCCCAGAGGACAATCTTCCAGTGAGAAGAGGGGGCTGCGGGGATGGTGAGGATGGGCCGGGGCCTCGACAAAGGTGGGTGCGGTTTCCCAGCGGCCAAGTGGAGGGGGAGGTAGCGTCCTGGGGAGGTGATGTTTACGCTGGGCCTTGGAAGGTGGGAGCACAGGTGGGGAGCACAGTCCAGAAAGAAGGAGTATTAGAGGAGGAGCAGGGGATGATGGCATTATGGCCAGAACGTCAGAGTATAGGGTGCAGGGTGCGGAGTGGCAACACAGGCTGTGAAATCAGATGGGGGCGGGGGGCCCCGGGAGCCAGGGAGGGTCTCACAGGCCTCCAAACCTGTGCTTATTAACCGGGGGCAGCAATGGTTCAATTCCACAAACCTGCCTGGGTCATCACCTAGAGCAGCAGTTCTCAACCTGTGGGTCACGACCCCTTTGGGGGTCGAAAGACCTTTTCACAGGGGTTGCCTAAGACCATCAGAAAACACATATATAATTACATACTGTTTTTGTGATTAATCACTATGCTTTAATTATGTTCAATTTGTAACAATGAAAATATATCCTGCATATCAGATATTTACATTCCGATTCATAACAGTAGCAAAATTACAGTTATGAAGTAGCAACGAAAATAATTTTATGGTTGGGGGTCACCACAACAGGAGGAACTGTGTTAAAGGGTCGCGGCATTAGGAAGGTTGAGAACTACTGACCTAGAGGGAGGCATGCTTTGGGGTGTGATGAAGACAAGGACACGCATGGCTGGCGTGGCTCAGTGGTTGAGTGTCAACCTATGAAGAAGGAGGTCACGGTTCGATTCCCGGTCAGGCATGTGCCCAGGTTGCGGGCTTGGTCCCCAGTAGGGG